CCCTTGCGTTAGTGAAAGATTATCCATTAATATAGCCATTTAGGTATATGTATTTCTTCAATGTATGATATCATCACATTACATTGTACCGACACATCACATTATTCTCTCATGCATCTAGTTTATCACAATCCAAATGGAAAACTATTGTAAATGAACGTACAAAGAACCCTAATGGGCTTAAATGTTACTTGAGGAAGAACTAACCTGACACAAAAAGAACAAATGTCTGGATCCCAGCTAGGAAACAAACCTTCTTTGGTAATTTTCCATTATCATTCCTCAACACCATAGCCTCATAGATTGGAAAACAATTAACTGCCACGAAACTGGCCAACATCAATTCAAGTATGAGTCTTTCTTCCGAAAAGAAAAGACCATAAAGCCCCCAGACGAGGGCAAGGAGATTCACGATCGCGACCATAGTCATGGGTAAGAACATTGGCGAAGAGGACCCAAAATCAAAAATCTCTTCCTCATACATCTTTCTTTGTTCTTCATCATCGTTGGTTTGGCTAGTGATGTTGAATCCATGGTTGGAGAGGTTTAGTGGTTTGAGAGTGAACTCTATGAAGCCAAAGAAGAATGAAGAGGATCCTCTAATCAACCACATTCTTTGGTCGTTCCACCATCCTCGATAACTTCCTCCTTCTAATACAAAGTCCTATAGATCTTGCGCATATATGCACCGAAGAACAAGAAGATGTAAAGCCAAAACCATAAATGATATGTTTTGGGAAAGATGCTAACTCCATAAAAGATGGCAAGTTGAGGCAAAAATCCATAGATGAAAAGAGGAATGAACCAGAAAGGCCAAAATGCATTTTGACAATAGCCTATGCCCGTTAGCAATCTCATTGATTTGACCCCATAGGTAATAGGGCTATATCTTGACAAGGCCACTTGAAGAAGCCCAATCACCCATCTCTTTTGTTGGCTCTTGACATCAATCATGCTTTTTGGAGCATCTCCGCAAAATGCAGCTTTTTTGGGATAGCAAAAAAATGATATCCATCCTTCACAATGGAGTCTATACCCTGTGTAGTAGTCTTCTACTAATGATCCATATCTGAATCCAACCCGTACAGATTATAGTATAACAAACAATTCAGAATTTAAGATATAATTAATACTACAAATTTCAAATATATGAAATTAAGATAGCCAACAACAAGAAAAACAGAGCCACAATGCTTTTAATCATATATTATCACTACTAACTAGGATGTTTTCACAGGGAGTACATAACAATTTATTTTTCTTCTTTTTTTTCTTTCCATCATGTTTGTTAGTTAAATCTTTATTCTACCTAAGAATAGCCTGACTAGATAGCTCCACTAGATAGGTCCAATCCTTGAGATTTTTTTTTTTTTTCCATTTTATCACTTGTATTTAAATTTGGTTTTGTTCTAATAAGTGTTTGGGGTTTAATTTTACAGAAACCAAAGACGTTACCTGAAAAGACATCTTATCCCGATACGTTAATTGATATACCTCTTTAACCGATTTATTTTACCGTTTGATTGCTTGATAAATACTAACATGTGAATACTTAAATCCGTACTATCATAAAGTGTTTACGTTATCAGTGGATCTTCAAGCCAATAGGACTGAAGATAGAGATTGTGAGAGCCGACAAAAAAAAAAAGTGACTTCATAAATTGTCGGCAAGATAGAAAATGAAGGATTGGGGACAAATAAGTCATCACTTCATAGGGATACTCCCACGCCCCTGTTTATTTAAGACAATCACTTAGACGATAGTATATAGTATATACGAAACTAAAGTGTATCTGTATAAAAAACAAACTTTCTCCACTTTTCAATATAAAACTAAATTTAGCTTAAAATATATTGTAAATGAAAGTACAGAAACCCCTAATCGGGTTAAGTTACTTGAGGAAGAAGTAACCTGACATAATAAGAACAAATGTCAGGATCCCAGCTAGGAGGCCAATCTTTTGTGGTAATTTTCCATTATCTTTCCTCAACACCATAGCCTCATAGATCGGTAAGCAATTCACCACCACGAAGCTTACTAGCATCAATTCAAGTAAGAGTCTTTCTCCCCAAAAGAAAAGACCATAAAGCCCCAAGACGAGGGCAAGGAGATTCACAATCGCAACCATAGTCATGGGTAAGAACATAGGCGAAGAGGGCCCAAAATCAAAGATCTCTTGCTCATACCTCTTGCTTTGTTCTTCATCATCGTTGGCTTTGCTAGTGAGGTTGAATCCATGGGTGGAGAGGTTTAGGGTTTTGAGAGTGAACTCTATGAAGCCAAAGAAGAATGAAGAGAATCCTCGAATCAACCACATTCTTTGATCGTTCCACCATCCCCGATAACTTCCTCCTTCTAATACAAAGTCCAATAGATCTTGCGCATATGCACCGAAGAACAAGAAAATGTAAAGCCAAAACCATAGATCATATGTCTTGGGGAAGACGCTAACTCCATAAAAGATGGCAAGCTGGGGCAAAAATCCATAGATGAAAAGAGGAATTAACCAGAAAGGCCAAAATGCATATTGACAATAGCCTATACCCATTAGCAAACCCATTGATTTGACCCCATAGGTAATAGGGCTATATCTTGACAAGGACACTTGAAGAACCCCAATCGCCCATCTCTTTTGTTGGCTCACTACATCACTCAGGCTTTTCGGGGCATCTCCGCAAAATGCTGCTTTTTCGGGATTGCAAAAAACTGATCTCCATCCTTCACAATGGAGTCTATACCCTGTGTAGTAGTCTTCCACTAGTGATCCATATCTGAATCCAATCTGTGCATATCACAGTATAACAAATAATTCAGAATTTAAGATATTATTAATAGTACAAATTTCAAAAATGTTAAATTCTTGTCTTGAAAGATATATATTTGTTGACAAGAAAATCTATCTTTAGACTTTTAATTACAAGAAAATGTCTCAGAATGTTAGAAATGAGACATTCTCTATGTTTCGTATTAATTACAAAATTAAAAAACTTGTTTGTAAGATTAACTATATTGTATGACCAAGACAGTCTAATTTTTTTGTGATAAGTGTCGTTGATGTGAATGTTCACAAACAAAACTATGTTGGATAAAATTCTAAGTTAAATCTTAGAATAAAGCTTCTCTAGTTTTGGTGACTAATAAGAAGACTATATTAGGAAATCAATACTAGATCAATTGGTGTTGACTTTATTTACCTTGGATCCCCAATTGGTGTTGCACTCGTAGTTACATCCTGCTACATTGTGTGCCAATGCCAAAACATCTTGGCCCTTGATGAGTTTATCTGCAATCCGGTTAGGTCGAAGTTCATCTAACTCTGGTGAAATAAAATTAGATGGAGGCCCATAGAAAACCCGTCGACTGAAGAAACATCCAGTTCCCACATAGTTCGGGCCCATTAACCCATCAAACCCAATCATATTGATCTCAAATAGGCGTTTGTACTCGCATGCATAGATATCGTTTTTGCTTATTCCTTGAAATTTTTGAGGAAACTGCACATACCCTAAACCAGATTTGATTTCAGGATCTGTTAAATAGCACAAGGCACGAACCGGTGTTGAAGGATCGTTCGAGTACATATCACAGTCTTGTGTTAAAATGACCGGTGAATTCGTCATAACCGCAGATACTCGTAGCTACAATAAAAAGAAGACATGCAGTTGAATCAAATTAAACTAAACCGAAATATTGCTAGTTAACCAAACTGAAAACTGGCTAAGGTAGGGTTTAGTTGATACCAAGGTATTAAGAGCACCGGCTTTGAAATGATGTTGTGAAACTTTACTCTTCTCTCTTGAAACATAGATTAGGTTTGGCATTACATACTTTTTGGTATCGTCCATATCCATCTCGCTATTTTGCAACACCTAGTGTCAAATAAAATAAAACTTAGATTTTGTTAATAAAAAGAATAACATATGGCAAACTGTTATTTTTAAGAAAATTTTAAAAAAATATATACTTATATGTGATATATAGTAGTAAGAAACGAATTTAATTTTCAAGATTTTGATTAATAAATACCTGAATAATAGTGGGATGGTCATGACGCGTGAATTTGTTGGTCCACAAATCGAATACTCCACGAAATTGATCGCATGTGACAAAGTCGGATTTAACTTTTCCACTATCAACCATATGTTCTACTCTACTCTTCATGTCTTCGTACATCATCTGTTACACCGCACAATAATGTTACATATTTTATAAAGTTTTTATAAAATAATGTTACACCGCACAATAATGTTTTTATAAAGCGTATAACTTAATATTTTTGTCTTATGTTACGTAAATACAGCGATGTAAAAGATCTTACTACTTGTGAAAACGAGCAATATTCTTTCTCAAAAAAGTAAAAGAGCAATATATTTCTTACTACTTGTAAAGCCAAAGAAGTACTTTCTCAAAAAAAAGAAGCCAAAGAAGTATACTTAAGAGTACGCTGAGTTCATGCACTTTGTCCTTTCATCATAAAGATCCATTTTATCGAATTGATAACATTTTGTGCGTATATATCCAGTCCCTTCATTTTTATTTTGTAAGACCAGTCTTTCCATTATTTTTTGTCACAGTCTTTAATTTATTTTAGAAGTTCAAATTTTAAATTAGTGTTTTTCTTTATGTTTTGTCGTTACTGATTTTTCATCTTTATTTTCTATTTTGTAAAACCACTTTTTCCTATTATTTTTATTTTGTCAAACAGTCTCTTTAATTTGTTTTAGAAGTTTAAATCTTTAAACTGGTGTTTTTCTTTATGTTTTGTCGTTACAGTTTTTTTATATCAATGGAGTAAACATTAGACTGGAGTCCATGATTAGAACTTGGCTTAATGAACCGATTTAGACGGTCAACTAATTTTATGGATACAAGTTTAATTTTTATCTAAATTAATCCAACAAATTAATGATTTAGATATCAATGTTTGACTAACAGTTTTAGGGTAAAATCACATACTCCCTCCATATCATATTAGATAATTTTTTAGAGAGTTTTTTCGTCTCAAATTAGATAATGTTTTATGTTTTTAAAGTAAAATTAATTATGTTTTTGTTGTTTTTGACTCTTCAAATTCTTCAGATTAATTTTCTATTGGTTGAATGGTATTGGAATTGGTAGTTTTATGTTGAAAAATAAAAAATTAAATAGTTTTTTAATTTATGTGTAAATACCTTAAAAATCATTTAAAATGATACAAAACGAATATAATTAACTTGTTTCGAAAATATCAAACAACACAACCTACCAACAACTTGTTTTGAAGCTAGGAGAAGAGTATGTTTACGCACCGCTC